GAGAGAGAGAGAGAAAGAGAGAAACGAACTTCCTTTCTCATGAAATGCGAGTTTCCGGGGCGTGTCATGACATTATGCTCCGTATAAATTTGAACGACAAGGGCGTGGAGGACACTGGGATGGCACGTCGATCAACGGATGAAATTCATGTGAGCAAGCTGGATCGTGAATGTGCAGTGAAAAGAAATGGAAATGAGGTAGCTTCCTTTACAGCGCAATTTTTTTATGCTGTCACACAAACTATAACATTTTGAACATGCAATGATATTAATAAGCCCAAGAATTGTCAATTGTCAATCTTAATTCTGTATAACTTGTATAACTTAATTGTAAAAATAATGACACAAAGATGATACATTTTTAACTTTCGTTTCTTTAAATGCACATTTTTTTCATTCTTTTATTTATATCTTTATAATTTGATTAATATCTTAATATTAATCAGGGCACTCGTTCCTGAATTAAATATTAATTTGCTGTTTTGTCTGAAAATTAGTTGGTACAGATAGAAGTCGTCAACTTGCAGTCGTCAGTCGAATCTTGTTAACGAAAACAAATATTAACTAGCGAGAATAATCATTAACGACAATACCATAGGTAGCCATTTGTCAATAGAACAGTAGCCACGATGATTTCCATCGAGTCGCCTGCCAATATTATCGAGCAAATACTTCCAGTTAACAGAATTTGGTAGGACATGATCGATATCCATTATCCACCGAAAGGAGAAATCAGAATCAACGGATCGCTTGGGAGTAACGTTGTTACAAAGATCTATTACAAAATATACGTAAATCATTTCAATAACGTATTTACGTAATTTATATATAACTCGCGATTTTTTACTTTTTAAAACAAGAAACAAAGTATATATATTTTTCACGTTGTAATTAGAATTATGGCATTAATATAGGAAATCTTTAAAAATATAAAAATTTACACATTAACATATTTTGTTATTCTGTAAACTAAAATATTTTAGAGGATTAAATTATTTAGGACTAGATTATTTTTATATCGATTCTGTATGTCACGAACTACATAATTTTAATAAAGCTGAGATTCATTTATTTAACAGATGGATTATTTTAAAGTAACTTTTAAAATAAAAGCGTTAAATTTGTTGCTTATACAAGAGGTAGAAATATACAATTGTGAATAAGACAAAATAACTTTATATAAACCAAGGATTCATATATTTTTTGAGAGAATATTTTGATTGAAAATTTTGCTAGTACTTTCGAAATTGTTTAATTATTAAATTAATTGCTAACATAAAAGATGTTGAATTGAAAAAGCTGGTTGAATCAATATTTATTTTGATGATGAAGTAAAACGATTATCTCTTTATTGACAAAAAACCACGAGAGAGAGAGAAACAGATTAGTCACAATGCAAATCATCAAATTTTACTTTTGCTCTTTAATTTACATCGTTATACATTACAGTCCAGCTCACTTTATTTATTCATTCATTTAACGATCCTATTTGAATTCTGGCGAGAGAGTGAGTTCACAGAATCAAACGCTTTAAAAGATTCACAATTCTAACTTCAAGGCACTCTGCGCTTTCACAAAACACCACCAATAGCCGATGATTCTGTCGCAATCCTCCTATTGATAAAGACCACAGTTAATTTCACAAAGGATTTAGATAAAACCGACGCAACCGTCATATTTATCGAACGGACACGTCGATTCACGAGGTAGTCATCACGGACACTGGCCAGAGTTCAGAATTGTCGTATCGCACCCGGCATCATGCATATATCGTTGAGCCACCTGTCTCTCTTTC